GGTCCTGCGTATGGTTTTGTGCATGGTCGTGTTCATGGTCGTATTGCATGGTTGCGTAGCATGGTAGTGCGCACGTGTACATGGTCTTTGCATGGTCGTGCGCACATGCACGTGGTTGTATGCATGGTAGATGTAGACCTTCAGTGTGCATGGTCGCGCTATGAACGCCGACGTTGATTGGTTGGTAGCGTTGATCACGATCCTATTCTCTGAAGCTTGGCCTTACATCATGCTAATTGGGCTCCTGATTCTTTCGGGTCATTCTGGAATCTGATGAACTGCTGATAAGCACAAGCTGATGAATAAAATAACCTTCACCTGGAGCCGCTCAGCTCAGTTCGACAACGATATTTGATTTAAGGCCGTCGCCCTTTACCCAAAAAATGAAAAATACAAAAAAAAATCGTGAAAAACAATTCAAAATTTTGGAAAGAAAATCGGGGACGAGAGGGATAAAGAACCCTGTAATAGAGACCAAAATAGGGGTTGAAGTTGGCAAGAAACGAGCCTTTTTCTCAAGAAAAGGAGAAGTCGTTGAACAGATCACGGTTTGGAGTGTGGGGATGTTGCTGTCATTTCTGATATTGTGCTAAAATAAATCCACAATATTGAAAACAAAAATAGGGGGTGAAGTTGGCAAGAAACGAGTTTTTTCTCAATAAAAAGAGAAGAAATCGTTGAACAGAGGAAAAGAAAAAAAAAGAAATAAATAAATAAATTAAAAAAAAAAAAAAAAAAAAAAAAAGAGAAAAGAAACCGTTGAACAGAGCATGGTGTGGAGTGTCGTTGAACGGAGCATGGTGTGGAGTGTGGGGATGTTGCTGTTATTTCTGATGTTGTGCTATTTTCTCTGCTTGTTTGTCGTGCTCCTCCTGCCAGAATTTAGACGTTAAGCGACTCCTGCTCTCGGCTTTTTACCATCATGATGATCACCACATTGTTTACAACATGATCTCTCTCTTATGGAAGGGGGCACAGCTGGAGGGAATGTTGGGTAGCAAGCAGTTTGTCAAGACTGTGGCTACACTTCTTGTGCTGTCGCACTCGATCCTCGTTGGCCTGGCTTTCTTGCTCTCATCGGTTTTCCCGGAGTTTTCCGGCGAGTATTACGATGTGTGTGCGATTGGCTTTTCTTCTGTATTGTTTGCAATGAAGGTGCTGCTTACTTGGCGTGCGCCAAGCACTAATCTCACCCAAGTCTATGGTATTGTGGTACCGACGCGCTACGCATCTTGGGTGGAGCTTCTGGTGATTCAAATGCTGGTCCCGAATGCCTCCTTTCTGGGTCACTTAGCAGGGATTCTGGCGGGCATCGTGTATGTCAATCTGCCTGGGGATAGCTTTGGCGTAGGCTCGGCACGCAGGCGCGGATACCGGCGTCCGTCGAGGTTAGGCCTTGGTGTCTTGTGGGATTTCTTCTCGGTGGGCCGCAACCCGTTTTTCAAATTGCTGGCAGCTGTTGGTGGAGGAGTTGGATGGGTCCTGGGGGGTAGATGGCTTAGGCGGCTGTGGGGCGGCGGTGGCGATGGCGATGGTCATGGCCGCCGTGGAGGCGATGCAGAGGGGAGAGGAGGAGCACCGGAGGACAGAGGTATTGAGGGAGGACGGCACCGAGTCGATGACAGGCAGTGGGAAGTAGGTGGTCGGGTAGTGGGTAGGCGACCCGTGGAGGAGGAAAGAAGGCCCAGGACATGGGGGAGAGATGGTGAGTGGGCAGCAGATGAAGGAGACTTGTTGGCAGGGGTTTGGAGTTGTGGCGCTTGTACGTATGATAATTGGGTTGGCCTCACAGAATGTGAAATGTGTGGTACTGCGAGGCCAACTGGGGAGTTCGATCATCCCCCCTCCGGCGGGGATGAAGGTGACTCTGGTATTAGCAGAGTAGATCATCCTTCCCGTGGAGATGGAGGTTCTGGTACGAGGAGAATAACGAGCGATGACCGTAGTGGGCCTAGGTCTGTGGATGAAGGCAGGCCTACTCGTCCAGGCACGGACTCAGCAGCGAACCCCTCGGCATCTCCAGCAAGTCAAGGAAGGACGACGACGACCAGGGAAGCTGGACTTGATATTGAGGAACTAAGGAGGTTGAGACTCGCAAGGTTCCAGGCAGAGGAAAGAAGGCGAAGCAATAGATGATGTGATGTCGACGATAACCATGCGTCCAGGCAGAGGAAAGCCAAGGGAAACAGAACAAGGGATGGTGATGGCGATGATAATCATGCACGCCGATGTGTTTGTGCTGTATAAGCGTGTTTGCTGCCTGTCAAACTAGTGTCCTTTTTCCCCACCCCTCGCTGCAAACACCCACACCCACATATACCTTTTCGTTATGGATGGCTTGTGATGATTTGTGAAGGGAATGAGAGAGAGAATCTGGGGTCTTTTGAACAACCCCCCCCCCCCCCCCCCCCCCCCCCCCCCCCCCCCACCAAACACACACACGCACACACACAAACTGATGAAACAGTCTGGCGCACACACACACACACACAAACTGATGAAACAGTCTGGCGCACACACACACACACACACAAGGCACACAGACACAGGCACGCACACGCATGCAGATGCAAAGACGCAGAGGCACACACGCATGGCAAGTAGGGGCGCTTCTGTGGCATTGATTGCTCATGTGTACAGTGTTTATATATTGGTTTGATTAGCAGGAGATTGTCTGGTAATTGCATCAAGTGGAATGAAAAAGGGGGCGTCTTTCATTCTTTTTGTTCCCCCCTTAATTCCATTCCTCGGGGGCAAGAAAGGTGCTGATGCTTCTTGTGAGGTAGGTTCTTACGTGGAGGTCTTTCCTTTGCCCCCCAGTTCTTTTTTCTTTTGGTAATTGTATATAGAGTGCGATTGTGTTGAAGTGTTGTTGCTGGCCAAGATTGGTTTTCCCGTCTTGGTCTCTTTGGGAAGAAGAATTCAGATGACAAGCAGTTGTGCTTTGCGACCAGGTTTCTCCTTTTGACCGCTTGTGTTGCGCGCATCGGAAGCGGAACTGGCGACGATATGCTCTTCTCCGCATTGGTTCTTCTGCATGTTGTACGTAGTTTAGGAATGACGTCAAGGACTCCACTCTATATCTATATCTGGCTCCTTGAGAATGGTGGACTGCCATCCCCAGGTGGTGATGATGCATCTCACATCCGCAGTTGGTGATGATGGGTCTCACGTCTGCAGTTGGTGACGATGGATCACCTGGTTGTGTCACCGTGGAGGCAAAAATAATCTGTATTCAGTGTATTGCTTACAACCTTCGGTTGTGCAATGAGTGGACGGCCTTTGATTGTTCGTTTCAGGGCCGGTTTTAACAGTTTGGCCTTTGGAAAGTGTATGTAGAATGTCTTCTTTTCCGCTTTTCACAACCGTACAGATCTGTTCTTCTATGTTTTTTATGATGAATTTCGTGAATATTTGAGCTTACGGACTTGTACAAAATTTGGACTTATTGATTTGTAGTAGGAGGTTAGTACCATCCGGCGATGAGGCCAATTATATCTCTTTCACATCCTTCAAAATCTGCTTTTTGATGCAGTTCATGATGGATTTCGTCGACATTTGAACTTGAACTTGCATGTTATTCCAACTTATTCGTGATCAATTGCTTGAAGATTTGCAAGTGCGGAGTTTGTGATGGATTTGTACAATATTTAGCAGTTGCAGTTTAGTACCAGCCGGCTGTGAGGCGATTATATTATAATCTCTTCAGAACCTTCAAGACCTGTTTTGTTAATGTAGTTCATGATTGATTTCTTCAACAATCTTTTGACCTATTTGTGTGTGAAGTCTTAGTGAGAGGTTGGCGCCATTGTGGATGAGAAGTGAAGAACACCACTGAGGAAGCTGCTGGCAGCATTTTCGTGAAAAGGGGCGAGGTCCCACTAGCAACGGGAGAGGATAGAAACGAGTTTGTGGGGCAGTTGAGTGACCCAAATCCTACCGTGCAGTACTCGTGATCCCACGGTCAGTATTTTACATGTATTTTATTACCCGAAAAAGTAAGGAGATCTTTGTTCCCTTCCTCCTCTCCTTAACACTTGGCATGCCCGTGCAAAGAGCTTCCGGCCGGAATCTTTTCAATCGGTTGGGGGTGTGGCCAACCCCAAAGGAGGGTGGGGTCGGCCTTAGGCCCACTGGATAGAAGATTTTCAGTATTTTACTCGCTGTTGTCCAATTATCTCATTGGGTGGAGCCCTCCTTCAATCACAGAGTATATCATAATGGAGGGTGGCAGGGTCACTGCTGACAGAAGTCAAGTTTATTCCAGAAAATGTGGCGGTTACTTTGTTCACTGTTGTTGGGACCACCACCATCAGATCACAGATGATCTGATCTGACGGCTGGGAAGCACTCTGCCATGATTTTCGGTGGGAGGTCTCCGTTTCTTTTTTTTGTTTTTGGCCTTTCTTCTGTTTTCTCAGCCCAGAAATTCGCAATGAACCTGTCAGGCGGGCCGCTGTTGTCACACTGGATCGGCGTCACTCAGTGTCACACTGGATCGGCCACACTCCTATCCGACAGCTAATGGGACCTTGCCCCAGGGGAAAAAGAAGGGCAGGAGTTGTTGAGACAGAATTCGATTTGTAGATGCGGGGTCGATCTCTGTGGTCTTTGTTTTTTTCTTTCTTTTTTCCTTTTTTTTGTTTTTTTTTTTGTTTTTTGAAAATGCGCCTTGCTTGAAAAGGAAAGGTGATGTGGGGTCACCTTTCTATGTGGAGCAAGGTGCATTTCAAATTGGCTGACGGAGAGATGGCCTCTTTGAATGAATAAAAATATGCACCTTCAACAAGGGGTCAGTGAATGAATAACCAGTGTCTCTGCTGGGGGACAAGTTGCTAAGAAGGGGTAGTGAGTCTTCTTCTCCTCTCACATCTTGAACGAATGTCTTTACAAAAAAAAAAAAGTTCCTTTTAATTTCTGGCTTTTCTTGTCCAGGTTTTGGATGCAAATCAGTCTGTGCTGGAGGACAAGCAAATGAGAATAGTCAAACTTGGAAGGACAAGTTGTGAATACGAATGAGAATAGCTAGGCTACCAGAGTGGCCCGGGGCCACTTGCCCGGCCGGGCCAAAAAGAAATAAAAAATAAAAAAATAAAAATTATTTTTTTTTATTTTTATTTTTTATTTTAAATTTGGCAACGAATTTAGATGTGACCCTGAGCTCTGCATAACATACTTTTTTTTTTGTGGTGTTTTTTTTTTTTTTTTTTTTTTTTATGCCTACGACGTTCCCTCGTCCTTGCACGGCCGGGACGTCGGGGAAAATACAGTGACCTGGGGCCTTGACCCCCTAGCCAAGTAATACCACGACTCCATCAGGATTTCGATCACGTGTGGCCTGATTTCGATCACGTGTGGCCTCGAGTGACGCAGTACGGCCGTCGACAACATCGGATCTCGACGGCCTGGTAGTTTCCGAGCGGGAATTGTAAAGATGCCCACCTCCCGTCCAATGAGATGCGTCGAAAAACAAATTTGGACATTATAGCTGGCTGTTTTGCATGGGCGGGAAGTCTCAATTTCATGGATTTGAAAGGGGGGGGGTGATTTCGAGACCTCGTTTTTTTTTTTTTGGCTCTGAGAAATCCAACTTGAAATGTGAAATTCAGATATCGTGGTGGATCTGACAGGAACACTTCCTCTTCTGTCGGGCGGCCTGTCCGAGGCATCATGAGATACACGGTGATGAATGTATCCCCGTATCCGTTACTTGTTCATCCTCGTGGCTGTGTTTGTGGACACATTTTATTGCCACGGTACATCACTATGCAGACTGACATGAAGGAGATCGTACCAACCAATGAATTGGGGTGCAACGGATGTAGGAGGCACCAAAGCACTCGTGACTGACACACATGTGCTCGCAGCACCCCGTGAATACAGGCAAAAAGAAAACAAAAAGAGAAAAACTAACATTCGGTGCCCTTTTTAAATGGAAGAAATCATTTAAACAATTGCAGAAAATACCGCAAATGGTGTCACACCTCGTGATTTACTTCGCTAGTGGGTCAATGCCCCTGGGTGGCCCGGCTGGTAGCCTAGGAGAACAGTAAAAAAAAAGAAAAAAAACGAGTGTTGAGTAGTGGGTCAGAACGTCCTGCAGCCTCTGCTTGGGCAGACAGACTCTGGGTGCTAAGATCCAAAGTCGAAAGGGAAACAGCCCAGATCGTTCTAAAACAATTATTTAGTGGTAAAGGAAGTGATCGAGCAATTTACAACCAGAACGTGGGCTTGGAAGCAGCCATCCTTTGGAGAAAAGTTCCCAACAGATCCAGCAGTGGGTGCTTCTACATGAGCTTCAGGTAACCAAATATGAACGCCCGTCTTCCAGATTTTCTGGTTTTTCTTCTTTTCCTTTCTGGTGATGAAGACCTGTTGCAGGTTGAGGGTCGAGGGCTCGTGAGGCTGTCCAGGCAGTGAGGAATTTGTAGGCCAGTTTGCGGTTCGGGGGGGTTAGACCCAGCGTCTCCACAAGTCTGTTGTGTTCGGGTTTGAGGAGTCCATGTAAATTTGCCCTCAGTGATCACTGCACTATGGCTGTGCCATAGAGTTTGAATGTGTTGAATGTGGCTGTCAATATTCTCTGGAATGTGATGATGACTGAAACTACGTCCTGTGCTCCTTCCCAGGACCGCACCAGTTAAACCAACAGCCTCCCACCCCCCCCCCACCCTCTTAAAAAGGTTGTGGCGGCATATGCACTGGCGCGGGCCACCCGCAGCAATACTAGAGGTTGCTGTGGCGTGCACACAAGCCATGGGAAGGGTCGGCCTACCGGCTGCAGGGGTGCTGGTGAGAGTGTGAAGTTTGGAGTGCAGCGACTTTGGCGATCTTTTGTGATCGGAATCATTGGCAGGAAATTGTGAAAAGCTCAGGGGGCTCATGGTCCCACTGGCAGACGGATCGGATAGATTGTTGAAAAGTGTGACATGGCGCACTCATGGATCACGATGGTTCTGACTGTAGATTAATTTTTATGTGCATACTTGCTGAAATGTTCTCAATCATGCTACTGAAAAGCAACAGGAATTGTTTTCCTTGCTTTTTTTTTTTTTTTTTYTTTYTTTYTTTTTTTTTGTTAAAATGCAGAGCCTTTCATCTGCTAAGCTCATAAGGCATTTAAGTGGCGTTCAGGATGTCTTGGGTTCATCCCAATTGGCCTCATGTACCTTCCCGGGCTAGCTTGGCGCCTGCCACCTAGAGATAAGCCGTTGGTCCGCCCGACTGGCGTTGAGTAGAGATTGCTGATGTTTGTAGGGGGAGGGGACTCGAGGGGAGAGGCACAGCAACTGGCCCATGGAAGAAGCTCGGTGTGGATGCTACCGGCTAACGCCAAGCTGGTATTGCCTGCCTGCAGGTTGGGTGCAGCTCCCGCATCGATGGCTCCTCTCTATTGGTGGGGAGCTGCACCTGCTGAAAAACAGATGCAGCGTCCCAATTGCGAAGTGTTGATACATGCATGGGAAACTTGGTTGTGGTGTGCCTCTTCAGTCCAACTCTGCCATCTAATACGCCTCGATGTCCTAGCTGCCCTACGACCACTAACACATTGCTTGTACAGAAAGCATTGAGCCATTGCTAATACGTGCCCTACGACCACCGACACATTGCTTGTACAGAAAGCATTGAGCCGTTGCTTGTGCAGAAAAGTTGCTCAAGCATCCAGGCAGAACCATTGCATCCAGGCAGAACCACTGCAAGTCTACTAACTGCCAATCCTGAAGGTCGAACCATGGTAAGGGAAATGTTCCTGGCCCTTCAGGGGTATCTTGGGTGACATCATTCTCATTCTCTCTGTTTCACACAGTGACCTGCACAGCATGGAATTCATTCTCTAACACAGCGGTCGCTAAAATCCTGCATGACCCGGTACTCCACTTTTTGCTGTTGGAAATACAGTCCTGTGCCTGCGACAAGTGCTTGTGAGCCTTGCGATTGTCTAAATTGACATGCCAGTGGAACCGCACTACCAAGGCCAAGTCTGGGCAAAGTCCTGGCCCCTGGGTAACCAAGAGGCACTTCTCTCTGCGGCTGGAAACGCGCTGTCCGAAGGAAGGAAAAAAAGGAACGGGCTCGGGCCTCGTTTTGGCTGGTGTCACCAGCCATTTTGCTACAGTGACTAAGCTGCCCCAAAAGTTGTGGCAGCAAGAGGGCTGCGACTTTGAAAAAATGGCTGGGAAACCTACTGGTGGTTTGAATTCCAAGAGTTCTGGAGCAGCAGTATGCCATGTAGACTGGCAAATCAACTCTCTCCTTTTCCTTCTCTTTTTTCTTTTTCTTTTTCTTTTTCTTTCCTTTTTTGTTTTCTTCTCCCCTTGCTTAAGGGCATCAGGTCTTGAGGTTGTATCATCTAACTGACCGGCGGCGTTTCTTTATTGGATTCCGGCAGAAATTCAAACGAAGCTCTGATTACGGACAGTTGTGTGGGTG